TTAACGAGCCATAAAGGCAATATAGCTACGTTTCCATGGTATTTTATTAACTTGGTATGTCAAAAGTGGTGGATTTCAGCCATGTATTTGCGCCCTCGGCAGTTTAACACTCTGTGAGGTAGTCATCAAAAACTACCTTGAAATGCCGGTTTCCTTGGAACATTGATAGTTCAGCGCCCATTTGTCCGCTTGCCTGTGTTTGGATGTCTATATCTCTTGCCACCGTCTTGCTACAATTCGTAAAATCTGACAAGCTATGTAAATTCTTTTTTTATTGTTTTTACCGTCTCGAAGGACGGTAAAAAGACGTGGCACCATTTCGGTTACCGAATTTTCAACAGTAAAACGGCAACAGAAATAAATCATATTGTTTTGCTGGTACCGTTTCCCCCTTTTTTACACGTACAAAGTACCACGCAGGGAAGTGACGCATGAATCCAAAGTACGAGGCCCGCACGGGGAACAGCTAAAGGGTAAAATGGAAATTAGAAATGTTATAAAGCACCTGCCGTTTGGCCGGGCTTTCGCCAACTGCGAGAGGTAGCATTGGTTCGGTGACCAATTCTGTGGCTTTCAAACTTGATCGATCGATGTTCGACCCGAGTCCTCAGGAAGAGGAGCTGATTTCGCTGGCCTACACCGTTGTCTGGTTACTCGGGATATTTTTGGGGGTGGTGGCTGCCTATTTTCTTTTGCACAAGAAGTCGACGGTATCGAAGGGGTATAGGAGACTTCAATTGCATTTATTGGTACGGAGGATTGTTAATAGTATCCTATCTGAAACTTCATACTTGAAAAAATCAATAAATTTCAGCTAGGTTGTGCCGTCAGCGATTCCCTGATCACGATCCTACAACCAATTTTCTATGTACCAGTATTTGCGATGAAATGCGTCACGTTCTTCACGCCCACTCCCCTCGGAATGCATATCCTTTTTGTAAGCTATAATACCGTACCATGCCTTAACGTATTTTAATTTTTAGTCCATCTACTTTTGCTTCTTCATGTATATGCTCGGCATCTTCTTATATTCTGGCGTCGTCAAGGAATCTAAAACTAATAGCACCGCATATTCGTTTGGATCAAGGGTTTATATCTTATTTTTATCGATTTTGTTTATCTTTGTTGACAATTATGCGTTGTGGCAGCAATTTGAGGGAAAATTTATATTTTCTGACCCGTCGCAGGTCAGCAATCAACTATAAGAATTCAGTAGTGGTGTCTGTCTGTCAGAAGCTAACTATAACTCGAAGAGGAAAGGAGGTAGAGCTTAGGTCTCTTCGGATTTGGATAGAGCGTAGTCAGAAACCCCTTAAATGATCAAAAAATCATGAAAAAGTTTTTGTTTAAATAAAAATAATTAACTTTGAAAGTGGCGCCTTAATAAAACGAGTGGGGCCCTCTCCCCGGGAGGCCACGCCCCCTTTCCCCGTCCCCGTCCCCAAGCCCTTTCCCGCGCCCAGATCGCTTTTTTCAGTTGTTTTAACACTTTTTAATTATTTTAATTCATTATTTAAATCCTTTAAAGTATCTAAGGCCATCACAAAGGGAGGGGGAGGGAGCGGAAGGGGTAGCCCGAAGTCCAGCCGCTTGCAGCGGCAAAGCCGCTGTCAGCGGCTGGTTTTTTAGAATCCTACAAAACGTGCAGAATTACGGCAGGATTTAGGGCACGCATATAACTTTCAGATCTGCGCGGTGGAACCTCGCTTATGCGGCAAAACGAACACCTTTTACATGATACTCGCTGATAACACCAAAAACGTCCTATGGATTGCCATATTTTTCTCAACCCTGACTGTTTCTTTTTATCTTTATCTACTGTTTTCCATCTGCTATCAAACATTCTTTAAAACAAATATATTAGCTAGCACGAAAACTCGGGAAATGAGGAGACATGTTGCCATTGTGTTTTTGTTGCAGGTTTGCGAGATTTTTGACCAAATTTCGAGGACCTTTAGACCCTGAGCGCTTCGCTGTTTATTTTCATGCCATATATGCTGCTTGGGAGTTTATTTCTCGGCGTGCTCAAATGGGAGCCGGTCATTTGGGGTAGGTCTTTTTATGTCAATTAAATTTTTCTTTAGTGGCTGGTCTGAGCACGCTGTGGATCGGTTTTCACTCGATTTGCAACAGTTTGACACTAATATTTTCGAGCAGATTTTCCCGGAACACTGTTTTGAAAGGTCTGAATTTTTAGGGCTCCAAATACACTCCCAAATTCAGTTTTTTGTAGTCAATGGTCGAGGAAAAAAGTGCGGCCGGTGATTATTCACACGAACACTGGAGCTTTTATTAGATCTTCGCCTGACCGACCCAAATCTGGGCCCGAGACAAATATCTCCGAATAAACGTCGTTTATACTGATCGGCGACGGAAACGTTCGGGTCTAAAAACTCTTTTACCTCGCGGAATGTAAGGTACCCCTACCGCCGCCCAACAGCAGAATCCAACCATTAGCCTCCCTGACCTGACTTCACTAACTTTTATGCACTTTGTACCGCTTACACTGATCTTTGACTCAACGAAACCCTTTGAATTCATAACAGGCATTAGCTTGCCGGAGTGTAACGCCGAACCCCGCCAAGGTTCAGAAAACCACCTGTCGATTAGACGCCCCTGAATTCACACATAGCCTTCACGATTGTTTTTGAAGGCAGTCCCGTTATTCGTGATGTTCCAGCCAAGTCCACCAGAAGAAGAGCTAATATCGATCGTCTATGTTATTGTCTGGTGTTGCAGTTTAGCCCTGGCGGGCGTTGCGGCCTATTTTCTGACGCATAAGAAGTCGCCAGCGTCAAAAGGGTACCGTAGGGTGCAGCTGAATTTACTGGTACGATAGCAGTAACACAGCGATATGATCTGAACTTCACGTTTAGTTCGCTAGCGTCGTCAGTGATTCACTAGTCACCGTGCTTCAACCAATTATATACGTTCCACTAATGGCTGTAAGATGCTTGTCGTATCTAACGCTAACTTTAACGGCAAAAATTGCTTTATTTGTAAGATGCTCGATTCTGCGTGATTCCCCCGATTTATAGACCGTCTATATTTGCTCGCTCATTTATATGATTGGGACGGTGATGTTCTCAGGAATTTTGAAGGAATCAGCGGCTACCCGATCGTGCTACTCATTAGCGGCGAAAGTATATATCGTATGCGTGTGTACTGTGCTGATGCTGCTTGCGAATTTTATTATATGGCAGCAGTTCGAGGGAAACTATATAGTTACGGATCCGAATCAGGTTGTCTCACGGCTTTAGTCCACAACCCATTCATAGATTTGTGCAATAGAGGCACGACTATGCGGCTCCACCAACATTTTCTACATGAGATTTGCCGGCACCAGCAAAAACGCGCTCTGGGTCGGGCTTTTCTTCTCCATTCTGGGGACTGCCTTATATTTATTCATCACAGTATCCGTTTTCCATCAAACGTTCCTGAAAGACAACTCCATGGCGAGTCGAAAAACACGCGACATGATGCGCCAATTTGCCATTGTGTTCCTCTTACAGGTTTAAAGGTATAGACGATGGACTAATTCCAGAATTCAGGCCACGGGCGCTGCTGCGTTTATATTCACACCATGCTTGATCTGTGGTTATGTGGTTTTGGAAATCGGGTATTTGAATTTCCTGCTAAAACCGTTTGGCTGGGGTATGATTTACGTTCGTTTTCCCAAACCTTCCTAGTGGCTGGATTGAGCATGCTGTGGTTCGGTCTGCACTCGATCTGCAACAGCCTTACGTTGCTATTTTCCAGTCGCTTTTCACGGAACGCTATTTTCAGTTGTAGGTCGGAGTTTTTGATAACGTCTTATAAATTAAGTGTTCTGCAAAGAAACGTGGCTGAAAGGGTCTCGACCGGAAGAACCGCATACCAACTTCGTAGTTTTTGTTAACAATTACACATATCGTCAGCAATCCGACATCATGAAAAGATGAGACAAAGAATTTGGATAAAATACAATGCATCCGGTAGCAATAGCATTTTACTCTGTAATTTTGTGGCTGTATTCGGAGAGCGTATGCCGAACAGACGTTTTATTTTTAGCTTTTCGATGATCCCCTGGGTTTACGAGTGGTGTGGCCGGAATGATAGGAAAATTTCTCTCCGCAAATGGCGCTGGGGTGACTTCCGGTCGCATCGGGCGTGCGTTCTGCCCCCAAATTGTTCCACCAGCTGGACGGGAATGAATTGATTTTGTCCTTTCCGTTAGTGTTGATCGTCTAAGCATTCTAAATAATTTAGAAGCAATTACCCGTGGTGGATGAGGTTTTTGGTCGTTGCTTTCCTCTCTTGCGCACATCTGTTGCCAATACTTGCGCATAACCTAACACTTGACGCACAAGAGGACGTAAAAGCGAAGCGGTTTCAGGTAATTGCCACGTTTTTCTAACCTTTGTCATAATGACTTTGGCAGTATCAACGGTAAAGGTTGCTTAACGGCGGGGGAAGAAATAACGGTGGTGGAAACAATTTTTGTTTTTGTAAAGAATATCCTGCTATTTTGAAAACGCCATCAGGTAGAGCGTCTAAAATTATATCAAGCGATTTAATTTCAGTCCAAACAACCTCGTTTTTAACTATTTTTAATTGATTAAACTTTTTAGCTTAATAAAGTAATAATAGTAATTGTGGTATTTCGAGCTGAAATTAAATTTTTGCGACGCTCTATCCCATGGTATGTTTGAATTGGCACGACCGGTCCGGTTGGACGGAAAAATGGTTTCCACCCCCGTTATTTGTCCCCCCCCCGTTAAGCAACCTTTACCGTATCAACTCCATATGACGGTACGATAGACAAATTTTAAGATTGTGAAAAATCAATGGGAACATGTGAGCGTGGCATATACGATTGGATTATTTTTGTTTGTAGCTTGTGCGGTGCGAGTTGGTAAGACCAAAGAAAACTTTGAATTTTTTACCACTTATGCTTTAGTATTTTCGTTGGCAAAGCTCACCAAATTTCTGCATGATTCGACACTGCTCATATTTATGGGATGGCTGATTGGTACGTCACGGCTTCTAACAAAAAAAATTGTATGTCAGGCTACCTACTGTATTTAACTGGTTTACCAGTAACGTGGTACACCATGACTAGTCAAATATTTTTCGTCTATCTGCTACCACCAATCATTTTTGACGCTGGTAATCCTTAAGCAAAAATTTTTAATTTAAGCCGTAGGTTACTTCATGCCGAATCGTGCCTTCTTCCAGAATCTGGACTCGATTGCTTTATTTGCAATCGTAGGCACGCTATGGAACTGTTTTGCGATAGGTTGAGCTCATGACCGATTTACCATGGAGTTTTAGGTCTTTCATTGCACTTATTAGCCACATGGGGCTGGTTTAGCGTCGAAATGTCGTTGTTAGATATTTTTCTATTTTCCTCGCTGATTGCAGCTTGTGATCCGGTGTCAGTAATAGCCGGTGGGTCAAATCAGATGGCTACTGTTGTACATATCCTTCCAAAAACTTGATAGCAATGAAGTAAGGTATATTTCAGTCTTCGAGGAAATGCACGTAAACGCCTTTCTTTTTGTGAATGTCTTTGGTGAAGCGCTTTTTAACGATGGGATTTCTGTGGTACGATCTGAAATTGAAAATTTTGGATTAGAAGTAGGTCATCTACAATATATTTTTGGCCTTTCACGAGCTAGGACCCGAGAACTTTACGGTAGGGTTACCGCCATGACGTAAAAAAAGCTTCTTAGACGATCGATTACGTAGCTGGTGGAGTGTCATTCTTTGTAGTGGCTGCTGGCGGAGTACTGCTTGGCCTAATTTTTGCGATAATCGTCGCCTTTATTACCAAGTAAACATTTATCCTTTGCGGTCAAGTTGCTCAAAGGTACACGCAAGTTTGTGAAATCATGTCGACAATTTTCGTGTTTTTGGTTCCGCTTTTGGCCTATTGGACGGCCGAATCGTGGGCGATATCGTCGATTATAACGTAAGCCTCGGAAACCCAAAGCTCAAATAAATTTTCAGTATCACAATCTGCGGAATGGCGATGAAACCTTATGTCAAGGAGAATTTGACGCCGATAGCGCAAATATCGGTGAAATATTTGACAAAGGTTTTGGCGCAAGGTTCTGAAACCGTAAGTATTCCGTCAAAAACCAATGCCCCTTCTAGGTTGTCTTTCTATTCCTTGGTATCGCCGTATTTTCCTCAAAACTCTATTGGGATTGGTATTTTATTTTGACCACACTGGTTTTCATTACGGTTTACCGAATTATTGGTATGATACGTAATTTTTTATATAAGGCAGTATTTAGGTGTCATCGTTCAATGTGCATTTTTGAATTATTGTTGCGGGAAAACCTTCTCCGTGGTAATTTTTTCCAAGTGAATCAATATACATCGTCTACAGGTCGATCAAGTTGTACTGGCATATGGCGGATTGCGTGGAGCTATTGCTTTCGGCTTAACGGTCTCGATGCCAGCCCTGCCCGCTAAAGATCTTTTTGTAACTACCACAATCGTGGTCATCTACTTCACCGTCTTTTTGCAAGTAATTCCCGTTTTGGTGCTTGGGTTCCTTGACACCATTCTGCTGCGTGGCCGGAGCTTTTTGGAAAATTTGAGGGTAGCACGATGAAGACGCTCGTCCGCTGGCTGAAGGTGAAGACGGATGATGGAGAGGACTCAGGGATGTTGGAGACCGCCTTCAATAAAGTAATTTTCGCATAACTTTATTTGGTAAACTGACGGTAACGCCAAACAATGATGCGACATTCCTTCAAAATTGTCTTCTCGCCAGTCGGGGCCCAACATAGGGTGTCCTAAAAAATCGGCCCCCTCTAGCCACTCGGAGAAGTGTCCAATTTGGACGGTTTTGGTATCTATGGAAGCCTCTCGGAAAAGACAGAATGCAAGCACTTTCAGTTTTTCAGTGTAGACATTTTTATTCACTAAACCAGCGCCCAAAACCCGCTTCGCGGGCCTTGAACGCTGGAATGCGGCCTTTGCATGAGAAATTTGACTTTCCGATAGCTTGGGTCCTTCGGACCCCTCGCTTCCTCCGACCACACCGGCGCGTGCCACTTGCAAGAATGAGGAAATTTGTATTTTTTGGAATTATGCAAAGTAGCCCTCCCTGGCGCCGGACACACACACACACACACACACACACAGAGATACACCCCAAAATTATGTAAGGTAGGATTTAGGGCCGAATCCATGAAAACTGCCGATTTTATGCAAAATCCGCATGTTAATTGCAAAGCTAACAGGAACAGAATGGGCCGGTGCCGCGAACTTTGCGGCGCGTACTTTTGCGGCGCGAATTTTGCGGCGCGAACCGTGCGGCCGAAGATTGCGGCGCGAATTTCGCGGCGCGAACGTTGCGGCCGAATTTTGCGGCGCGATGCTTAGGCACAGGCCTTTGGTTATTTTTTGCACTGCATCCTAATTTCGTCATAGAAACGTGAGAAGACTGTTTTGCGACAGGAGTCACTCGATTTGCAGGAAATTAATCGCTATTTCTTTCGCTCTGCGACTAGAAAAAGGCTTCGTGCCACCCGGGGGCTAGTCGCTTCGGATGGGTGCGAGCTCGTACAGGGTTTCGAAATCGGGGCGCCCGAGCAGCGCGAAGCGCCCAGGCGCCTCGATTTCGAAAGAGTGGAGCGGCAGCCCAACCGAAGCGACGGCCCACCTTGCCTGACGCCCCCAAGAGGTCTCTTGTCACGGCATTGCGTACAGTTGCAGTTAATTTGTATGGAATTACATATATAACCATTACAAAAACAAAACTGGCTGTGATTCTGATTCTGAATTTCTGAAATTCCTCTGAAATCTGATCCTGAACTCAAAACAAATTCTGAATTTAAATGATTTCCATTAATATTTGTTGCGCCGCAAAATTCGCGCCGCAAAGTTCGTGCCGCGAAAGTGCGCGCCGCAAAGTTCGGGGAGCCTTTGCGCCTTTTCAAGAATTGAATATCGACCGTGGGCTCAAAAAAATGTAAAACGAAGAGCGCTTGTTTTCTCGTCGTTTCAAGGGCTTTCGAATGGTGTAAATATCATCCCGATCCGTACATTCTCTGGACGGCTAGAGAGGGGTCGATTTTTTGGGACACCCTGTAGATAATGATCGCGCCTGAGGTAATAGATATTTTATTATTATTTTGAGGCAGATATTTACGGAAATTATCTTTTTTTCCAGTCGCTCGACTACACCTTGTGCGGAATCGAGAACATTGCTGGAACATCGGGCCACTACACAGCCTATCATAGGTAGCATGTCACAAAGCGCAACTTTGTTTTTTTTTCAGATTTGAACGTTTCCATGCGAAGTATATCAGGCCCCTATTGGTAAGAGGTGCAGACGAGCATAAGATTGATGCTACAAAAATTGTAGATTTGCGTTTTTTATGGAAATTATCATGATTTAGCCGCGAGCTCATATGAAAATGGAGCTGTCAGAAGTGCTGGGATCAAAAACCGTTCCCAAAACTGGCGATGAGAAATACAACTGCCTTACTTGAAAGTTTCAAGACCAGAAAACACTAATGATGTAGAATCCATAAAATTTTTCTCATTTGGCTTTTTACAATGATCAATTCTGAATTTTTTGAGTGCAAAGATTAATCCACAAAACTCAGTGCCCCACGCGCAGTACTTCAGTACAACCAAAGGAACCGTCAGGTTGCGTGCGCGAGTATGTCAACCGATAACGCCAAGGAAATTTTACAGTGAATGTACGGAAATTTGAGTGTCACTAAAAAGCACATCGTTAGCTAGCTGGAAATAGTTCCGTCGCATTAGTGCGCAAATATTGAATCTGGGGTTATCAGCTCACCGTCAATCGATCACACGCGCCCAACGAATTTCGGAGCAAACATGTTTGTAGTCTATGGATTACACCCTCTGTGTGTGTATCGGAGAGATTGTTAAAAATACTGGCCACTATACTACAAAAATCCCGGAAGAAGGCCTCCCCGCGTTGTTCGATCTGGTGAGCGTTCAAAATTTGTCATTTTTGTTAATTAAGTAGCTCGAGTTACTTAAGTTTTTATTCCTGAAATTCCATTTCCCTGCAGAATTGTTGATGCTCTATCCGATGGGATGCTTGTTTAGGTACAACCAATCCCTGTAATTTGTTCCCATCCCCGTTATTCTCCCTCGTTATTCAACTTTTACCCATCTTTATGTGTCTGGTATCCAACTCACCATGCAAACTGAACTGTCATGGGGACATGATTCCTGTTGCGGTTGTATTTTGCTGCAAAAATTGACAGCAGCTTAACATGTTTGATGAGAATTGATTTCTTATGCTCAAATATCCACTCCGCCAAGTTCCCTCGCTATCGTCCCAATAATCGGATATAGCGTTCCATTCCCGTTCGAGCATTTGCCGTTGAAATCGTCAAGGTCGAGCGTCCAAACAAATGCGCCACCAAAGTCGTTGTCTTTGATGAAATCCATCTAAAAGCCAGCGATAAGATCAGGAGTGAGTTTTAGAAACCTTGAGCTCGACTGATTCCGCATCGTCATAGCTGTACCACTGTTTGTTGTTCTGGATCAACCACGGGACTTCATGTTGGGCGTGCCAGTAGCGTTTTGCGCCAGCGGCCAGCATTTCACAAATCTGGAAGTTTTTTAAATATTTTTAGAAAGTCTTCGGTCCACTAAATGGTAATGTGTAGAAAGAGTATTCATTCGAAAAACTCCTTGCTATTACCTCATAATATGCTGCTGCTCCCTTCTCCTGCGAAAACTTCAAAGCCGGTGAGGCCGTATTACCAGTGGAGCCGGGCTGGATTTTGCTGGCATTCTAAAAGATGAAAACCGTTTCTACCCTTACTTTTCGAAACTCCTGACCTTTAACGTCCACCCATGGGCATACGGCGCAATCCCAACGATCACTTTTTCTTTGGGAATTCCCCAATTGTGCCAAGCGTTGGCCGCCCAAACCTATATTAGATCCGGGGTTTAATAAAAATAGAAATGAGGGCATACCACATTATAAAATTTTGCCGGTTCGCCGAGGCCGGTCCGGTTGTATAATGGGGCATTCATGCCGGTTGTGCCGACGCTCGGATACCAGAAATCGTACGTCATCACGTTCACGAAATCGAGCAGTCTGGGTACCAATATCAATACCAAGATAGACGAATTCAGAACGATTAAATATTCATCACAAAAAGAACAAAGAAAAAGGTATACTTTACAACACTTACGGTCCCATCTTGACGATATCATAGCCGGGCATGGTATCATAAGTTGATGTCACCGCAACGGTCAGCAACAACTTGTCTTTGCCAGATTTTTGTGCTTCCGCATTAATGGCTGCTCGAAGCTCCTAAAGCAACACCTGAGATTGCCAAATCGATTCACATACCTGCAACACCGCAATATACTTCTGGTCCTTTTTAAGCGGAAACTCCCAATCGATGTCAATCCCATCGAAGTTGTACTTCCGCACCCAACCGACAGCAGAGTTGATGAATTTCGTGCGGGTGGTTTTGTTGAAGGACATTTTCTAGGCGTCAAGCTCAATTCGCAAATCTCAAAGCCCTACCTGAAACTGTGCTGTTCCAAAAGCTCCTCCGCCAATCGAGAGCAGTGTCTTTAGGCCGGGCTGCTGGTTTTTGAGGTTGTTAACAAGTTGGTATTGCCCGGGACCGCCATCATCACCGACGAGGTCGGTTGGGTCATCGGCTCTACAGATTTACATGGATGAGCTGGTAGGGTTACATACATACTTCATCGTAAAATCCGCTTTGAACGTGGCGAAAGCGTAGAGGATGTGCGTGCACAGGCCGGGGATGTAGTTTGTGGTCGAATATTGTCCACGTCCAGGCCTGTGAAAGAATATTTGAAGACCGTTTTTGAATACCTTATAGCATATTTGGATGGTATTTACATTGATGATATGATGAGATGAATGATGTTACCTATACTGTGCCCAACTTGTGAAATAGCAGGGTCGGAGAAAGGCTGAACCATCTGAGCGCGTGGGAGCGTCTTGCGCGCTTCCTGAAATAAATCGAGCTTGAGTTTTCAGTATATCATCTAACCTCGTGGGAAAATAACCAGGCACACCAGGAAAATAACAGGCAATAGGTGCTTCATCGAACTGTGTGCTGCTCCCCTGAAACGTCGGCTATCTACGGGTCGGAAGGGCGGAGGGCACGCGCTAAATTGGACTCTGATGATGTGTCCCCTATTCGGATGATCGCTCAACACAAAAAGCTGACCAAATAATATCGTTTTTACGCCGCCGCCACGCCCAACGCCCTCACTTGTGTACCCGCAAAATTATGGAAATCCCCCGGCAGACCGGCGATCCCAAAACTATCATAATATTTCGGCCACGAGGTTTTTCGCGATTTTTTTTGCTCGTTTGCTCGTGCCCAGGGTTAAAAGTTTGCAGTACCGCTTTTTGCACTTTGAAAACTGGCCTGCTCTAACAAGGAGACGTTTTTTAGTGTCCACGGAGTTTCTAAATGGGACCAAGCCTATTTTATCCAGAGTTTGGCGCTGATTAAAACCTCCTTTTCAGAATTGCGAAACGACCTAATTAAGAAAGTTATGACGCTTTAAAGGGCGTAAAACGGCAAAAGTCGGCCATTTTGGGCATTTTTCACACTTTAAAGCTTCATAACTTTTGAAATATGATTGTTTCGAAGATTCTGAAACGCACGTTTTGATCAGCGAAAAAGTCTGCATAAAATCGGCTTGGTCCTATTTCAAAACTCCGTGGACGGTAAAAAACGTCTCCTTGTAAGCGAGGCTTCGATTTAATGAAATCCTACTGTATAAAAATATGTTGTTTTTCGTTGTCTATTCGTATTGTTATTTTTTTATATATAGTAGGATAGTAGGATCATGAGTTCAGAAATTAACGTGCATGGCCCTCCAAGGTGTGCGCGTGACTCAGATTAGTCGATAAAAACCGGTATTTTCAGTTTGCGGCCGGAAGCATGCGGCCGAGATGAAAAGCCGCCCAGTGCCTTCATTTTATGGACCATTTGCACTATTCAACTTTTTCCCTTTTCAACCCTCGTATATAGAAAAATAGTGTCTGTGTGTGTGCATTTGCATGCAACTTAGGTAAAGAAGGGTCCGGAATCGACCGCACGCACATAAAATCTTTGAAAAATTGCTATTTTCGCTATTAAAAACAAATTTTGTAAAATTCTCGGCCTTTGTTCGAAATCAATTAGCATAAGCCAGAAGTGGAATAGTTTATATAAAGCGACAGAGGAGCTGTTTTTTTTCATTTTTTTTCTGATAGATTTCGGGGGAGAAGCATACAAATTGAAGACTTTCATCGGTGGGATAAGAGTTCATCACGGGACCAGGGTTGTTGATAAGCCGCGAAGCGGTTTTTCAACCCTGGTGTTATAAGAAAAAAGAAGGGCGTTGGCACAAAAACTCTGAATTCCCCTTAATCAAAAACCAGTCAAAAAAGAGTGGGCGGCGCCTATAAACACCTGTTTCGCCAGAGCCAGCCAGATAGTTTAGTGCCAAGACCTTGATTTCCCCTTTGATTCATCTAACCCTCCAACGATTTTCATTACTTTTGTGATGACTGCAGTGTCTCCCACTCGAATTTGGATGTGTCAAAACCTGACGCCGATTATCGATACTACCTGGTTCAAGACGGCTCATAATTGGCTGAGCATAGCTGCAGGTTTCAAGCTAAAAAGCTGTTCAAAATTTGCATTCAGTGCCGTGCTTCTTTTTAAATATTTACGGGTTGTACGTTATACACATAGCTACTCCAAAAATTGTCGGGACTTATAAATCGAAGTTACAGGTTATTCAGGTAACACTAAAAACAGGGCTTACATTTTGCAATGGCTTTTGAACCAGATTTTCGGACTTTCAAACGACATATTATTGACTTGGTTCGTATTCCCTATAGCATCCTTTCCGCGATTCGGCTATTACAGTATCGGCTGGGCCAATAATTTTGGTATTCATAGCCTCGACCAACTGGTAGTTGCCTTTAAATAAAATATATGGCTGTCAAATCGCAGCTTATCGTTGTTCTGACGGCGTTGGAATTTTTTGTGGCAATTATGGTGGCATTGTTTCATCGCTATCAGACGCTTTGCATGGATTCAGACTTCGGGAAATTGTCGCCCAGGTGAAAACCGTTGCTAAGTAATAAACCGAGTAAAGGGTGTCCCAATAAAAAACACCCCCCGCTAGCTCAACGTAGAAGTATCGGATGGGAATTATAGCTACCTCATTCGAAAGCCTTTGAAACGGCCAGTTTGCAACAATCTTCAAAACCGTCTTTTTATTGAAATGCGCGATTTTACAAGCCAATTCGTAAAAATTTTCGATTTTGTGGGGTTGCATACGAGCTAATTTGCCTCAAATTCTCCATAGAAAATGACCGTAGGTAGCCGTTAATTAGATGCAGAACCCGTTCTTTAATGTTTTAAATGCTTTGTAACCTAGCGCGTTTAAATAAAAACATAAGACCTTCTTGCATAAAAACATATCCAAACCCAAAGATACAAACCGATTCAGCGGGAAGATATTAATGGAATTGTTGATGTTCTCGCACCCATTATGGACGGCCGGCCCCGCCATCACTTACTATTTGATTCAGAACGATCCGGAAGCGGCCATGCAGGACTCTGCAACGGTTCCTTTGTACTCAAAATGACATATTGTTCAAGTGCGCTCCATATCTCATACAATTCTGGAGCCAGCCTAGTTACTATGAAATGGAGGAAAGGTTCGACTTGGCGCCCGTCATATTGCTACCGTATTTTGTGGGGCTGGTATTGGCTTTTGTGGGTAAGGAATTCATTTTATAAATTTCATCTTGCTTCTTCAGCTATTATACTAGCTATACTAGCGCGCTTGAACTCACAGCGCAAACACCGTAGCAAAAATGTTTACAACCTTCAGAAGAAATTGCTCAAGAATCTATTAATGCAGGTATGTTTTTGAAATGTAATGACGTGGCCTGGCTTTAGTTATCGGGCGTAATTGCAATGTTTTTGGGGCCGATGATGTACTTTTGGATGATACCACTTTTGGAGAATCCTGGGCTGCTCTGTGGGGTTTTTGATAGATGTTTTTAGGCTCTTTATCTTGCTTGCGACGTTATCCTATATTTTTTGTCAGATTACGCTCCGATACCGTCGATATTTCTGTCGTTGCACTCGACGGTTTCTACAGTGATACTGATAATATGCTATCAAAGCTATTGGGAGCATACGAAGGCCATTTTTAGGTTGGTATTGGCGCGTCGGCGCGAGACGACCGTTGTTTGAGACATGTCCGTTTCCCTGGCGGACTCGATAAAGAAGTTTTATCGAAGCCAGAAATTGCAGCATGAACCATAAGTACCAAGCTATACCAACAGATTCGTAGCCGCGTCGACAGCGCGAATTTGAAAGTAAATGGCGCGGTTGGCAGTGGCCTGATCGAAAACCTCCTGATCGAAAAATGGCCTGATCGAAAATCGCCTGATCGAAAATCGCCTGGTCGAAAATCGCCTGATCGAAAAAAATCAAAAAAATTGTGGGTTTTTCTAGGCTTCTAACATAACAAAAAGAATGGTCGTGGCCACTACGCCAAACTCGGTATTCTGTACATCAAACTCCTTCAAAAGTATTTGAAGGAGTTTGAAGGACCAGCTATTACACGGTCGGTGTGTAAACTTCTACAATTTCGAAACTTCCATAAATTCAAGACGTGTCGAAAACTTCGTGCGTTGCATTTGACCTTGTAAAATATACACAGATGCCCGCGTCAACTTGTTTTCTCAAAAGTGGGCACGAGACGTTGCTGTAGTGACAGCATATATTTATTAGTGGCTGATAGTTATTGCATAGTTATGATGATTATTGCACGGATAATGAGAAAAACACGAATGCTCAATTTCAAAGGATTCCCCTTGGCCACATTAATGAGAGCCCTGGGCAGCTCGCTGGAAACGAAGATCTTTAAATCCAGCCATTTTCGCTCCCGGCATCAAAAACGTTTCCTAGATTTGACTAGTATTACGATTATCGCTTGATGCTAACCTTCATCGGTGTTAGCAGGTCGATCAGGGCGCTGAGGCGCAGTTCCGGTTCACCCAGTTGATTCTCGTTTTGCCATTCGAATATTTCCTGGAACAATTTGCTTCACTTTTAATAGGTCCTATGAGATAAGCGAAAATATTTGTACTCTTACTGCAATGAGGTGATTGCGCAATTGATTACATAGACACTTCGTCGGTTCCTCGAGATCGGCCATGGCTGCAAGGTCAATTGCAACTTTGCAAGTCTGTTTTGGAATATTTCTGTGTTTTTTGTTTTTTGTTTTCCCAAACTTGCCCTATACCAATACCAGCCGCTTACAGCTGCAAGCGGCTGGACTTCGAGCTACCCCCTTCGCTCCCCTCCCCCTCGCCGAAACGCGCGCCACCTGGCTCGTTATGCCCAAAATCGTGCGAACGTCCGTACCCCACTCGTTTTTCTAACATGGGAAGTGCACGACCTGACCGTGGGATTTCGGCACGAGACATAGTGGATCTGATAGAGTCTGTCTCTCTCTGAGTCTGATTCCGAATCTGTAATCAGAATTTGCTAAATAAACGGAGAAAAAAGTTATGATGCTTCAAAGTCGGCAATCCGCGCTCGATGCGAATGCGAAGAGACCTAAGCTTTAGCTCCTTTCCCCTTCGGGTTTAATTCAGCTTTACACAAACACACACGGACACCTCAAGAAAATTATTATAGTAGTAGATTAATAGACACCATACTTGTGTCCAACAATAAAATCGCAGACAGCGCGACAAACTCTGTATGCTGTATGTTCATGGCCGCCATTTGGGATCGAAGAAAGTCCAGAGCGGGTTGAAATTTCGGGCGGAAGTAGCTGCAACGGAGACGCTAAAATCTCACTAAAACCTACTATTCAGTGTTGTTGCCTCCTGGAACCAGCCCTTCAATACCACGCAATAACTCGTAGTACGAACCCATGTGGTTGGAATCGATGTAGATACTAAATATTTGAAGACAGCTTTCGTCGGAAGCTTACCGATTTGGGAACAACCACTTATTCATCTCGTTACCAAGTAATTTCCATGATAGATAAGCCTCTTCCAAGGCTTGGAAGGGAGGCAGGAAATTCTTGAAGAGCTTTTGCTGTAATCAACAAAAGGCTTGTAGCTAGGGTTGTTATACGAGTTGATTCGTCAGCGAGTTGATTCGAATCGCGATTTGACTCTTTAGGAACGAATCAATTCGCATACGAGTCGATTCGTCAGACGAGTTGATTCGCTGGCGAATCGATTCGTTGCCCACGAATCAGAATCGAAACGAATCGATTCGTCAACGAGTTGATTCGTTTGCCGTACTGACTCGTCGGAAGTTGTTGTATGTTAATGAAAAACGCTATGTAAATCAGAAATCACCCCCGGGGCGGCTTTTGGGGTGTCTTTCGGGGTGCTGTCTGGGGTGCTTTTTGGCAGTATATGACTAGGCTTTTTTGACCAAATCAGAAGATGAACATCGTCGCCGAGCAGGTTGAACAACTCGACGCCAAGCCGCTCGCAACTCATTTGGGGGTCGTTTGGTAGCACTCCCGCGAGGTTGCTGAAGGCGGCGGACAATTTTGAGAGGTTTTTCTACCCGCGCTAGCGGCTTAAACAAGCTCAATAAAATTGCTTCGAGGCGTTTAGACTGTCGAAACGTCTCGAACGTCTCGACAAAACAAACAAAACGACAAAGCAACAACAAAACGTCTCGAAATTGCCAAAAAGCACCCCAGACAGCACCCCGAAAGACACCGCAAAAGCCACCCCGGGGGTGATTTATGATTTACATAGCGTTTTTCATTAACATACAACAACTCCGACGAGTCAGAACGGTAAACGAATCAACTCGTCTGACGAATCGACTCGTATGCGAATTGATTCGTTTTGAATCGTATTCGTTCCCAACGATTCAAATTCGCTACAAGTCAAATCGCAATTCAATCAACTCGTTTAAATTTTTGACGAATCAATTCGTCAACGAGTCAACTCGTATAACAACCCTACTTGTAGAAACTAAAGCTCCAAATTTCATTTTCTCCATTCTCTATTAACCCTGTTATGACATTATCAACAACATACCAATGATAATCCACTAGACCATTTAAGAATAACACACGTTGGAGATTCTGATCAGAGCGTAACAAAACCGACATTTCGGGGGGGTGGGGGCGGTGGGCGGCGGCGGCAAAATTTTTTGCTACATCGAACAAAAATGAAGCGCTACAGGCGAACAACAACAACAACAACAACAACAGCGCCGAAAGCAACAAAAAATTTTAGGAAAAATAAAATCATGAGGTTTTCCGTTCCCCCTTTATGAACATTTCCGCCTCGGCCGATTTCGGGGCTCGCCCCCCTCCCTCCCCCTCGCCTCACTTACCAGCCTGAGTCTGATTGTTACCTGCTCGCTTGGTGCAAGGCGCTTGAGATATCGATTTTGGGTAATGAGGACGGAAACAAACCGCGGCTCAATCCAGCAAATTTGAAGCAAAAATTGGCCCAGGTTTCTGAGCTCGCGAGGTGCCTGAACGGGAAATTTGGCGTCGCCCCGATCTGAAAATTCTCACAAATAGCGGCTCTCCCACGAAAAGCTCGACCAACGACTGTGCTACGTAGAACATTTGGCGTTGCCTTTCGAGGGCCTAAAAGAAATGACATGTTTTTTGCGAGAAAGAAAGCCAACCTGATATCGTTTCTGGAACTGTCGGAGTATTTGTTCACCGCAATGATAGAAGCCCGTGGAAACTTGGCTGCGGAAGGAAGAGGACGAGGCTAGATGCTTGTAAACATCATGTTTATTAAATAAAAGCATGAGATCCAAGAAGTCAGAGAAGATCTGAATACTATCATTCGGGGCGGATCATTGCGGGACGAGCCAGGAAATGCTTATTCTCTGATCGACCTGTTTTTTGAGGGTTTAACCTACCTTCTCTCTCCGTCGTCGACTCGGACACCTGACGACGGTCACGTTTAAATACCGCCCGTGGCGACAACTTTCCGATTATATCACGCTTGGTCTGGACGGCTGAAAAAAATTAATTTTTTTTAGAATACTCGGTTATAGATATCATTGAGATGCGGAAAGTGATTCACCAACCTCTCGGATCCATCCCGGCTTGCAGACATTTTTCGAAGCGGCAGTGTCGGCATTTCAGCGCGTGACGAGCTTCTACAATCGGATTTTTGGGATCGGAGTCGATGATAGCTAACTAAGCTAATTTCCAAGAACTTGGGGTCTTGATGTTCAATTTTGTGAGATGCTTTTCCTTCGAGGTCTGTCGCGACTTATCCAAACGAATATTTTTATACCCGACCGGGTCCGCGTGTGTTACCTTTAACTAGGTAGATTTTTCTGACGTGTCCTCTTCTGCTGCTTTTGATAAACAAAATTCTTACCGTGGTCCGGGAGGCCATCCTCGCCCCGCAGGCATACGTACGCCTTGCCCAACACCACCGTTCGGCGGAAGAATGCGCCTGGAATCGCATGTATAAATGTAATAAATATGGTTCAATGGCGCTCACAGCAAGCTTCACAGGATTCGCCACCGAAATGGATGCTACCAAGCGATTCGCGGCCACAGATTTCGCATCGGCGCTAAAAGCGTCTTTGATTTGGTACGAAAATAACGACCATTGACTATTTCGCCGACCTGTAAAGTACGAGTTTGGTTTCGCTGAACTGCGCTGCTAGGAAGGTTGACCGTATCCACCCGACGCTGACCATCCAGTGTGACCTTTAGAAGCTGCTCTAGCTAGAACAAAATTGAAAGGTTTGTGTTTAGACGTTTTGCAGACCTGGCTGCGTTGAGCAAGCTGATTCGCTATTACATTGCGGTGTTGAACATTAGCTAAATAGTTTATTATTGTTGTTGAGCAGCGGCATTGCAGGTCGTTGGCTAAAATTAACGGCATTACCAAGGGGAAGACATTTTCGGTTCTGTTTTGTCGTTTTGCCGTCGTTTCGTGTTTGGTGGGTTTTTTTTTTTTTTTTTTTTGTTTTTTTTGTTTTCCGTGTCTTTTTGTTTTCGTTTTCCAGTTTTTTTGATTTTTTTTTTGTTTTTTTTTTTTCCTTTTTTTTTTTTTTTCTTTTTTTTTTTTTTTTTTTTTTTTTTTTTTTTTTTTTTTTTTTTTTTTTCTCTTCTCCGGTGCGCCGGGCCTCCCCTGTCTCCGCTCCTTGTTTTTTCCCTTTATTTTGTTTTTTTTTTTTTTTTTTTTTCTTTTTTTTCCTCTTTCGGTGCCTTTTTTCTCTCTTGGTTTTTTTTTGCCCCTTTTATATACGTTATTGCTTTTTTTTAGACTCTAATGGTAGTCTACAACAGAACGTATTGAAAACCGTACGATCAGTTGCTGTCTGTTTTTCATCCATGCCAATAGATGGTTGCGGAAAATTAGCAATGCAGTCAACCGAAACGCAATTTTTCAGTCCCGACTGACAATCGCGTCGTCCTGCCGGAAATGTTTTGCAAACTTCATTTATATAGCGACTTTTCCGGGACAAACAACGGTAGGCAGATTTATGGTGGATCCGAGGTGGACCCTCATTCACAGAATCACATGTCGAGCTTTCCTTGGATACGTCGGGTCCATCGAGGGATTGTCGTATGATCCAGGCATTAGCCCACACCACGCATCATAGAGACTCCAATTTTAGTTGGTTATTTTTGCCGATTTTGCGGCGAGGCCGGCTCTAATCGTGCTCGAAAATCATCGACCGTATGGGAGACGCCAGGGGTACGGTATGTTCCGCGGTGAGTTGCACAAAATACATCAAGGGAAACCGAGACAATAAGTACGTCAAGTGACTAGGAATCATTGCTGAACAATTTCGGATCTGCCCTTGGGTAGATTCTTATTAGGATCTGCCTTGCAGCACCACGGATTTCCATTAAAAAAGAATAGAAATTTTTGTACGTTATCGACGGGGCTTTCAGGTGACAATGAATGTATTCTTACTAGTTTTGTTTGAATCATGATTTCTTTATCCTTCTGAACATATATCCTTCTTGACCAGCCCTGAATGGATATTTATTGTACAAAATAGGGGCCAGGTGATGTTTACAACACGATAGAGAACGTTATAAAAATTATTAATAACTGGTAAAGCGGGATCTTATAGATAAGATACAACCATGTAAGTTTTTTTAGGAAGACAATTGTACGACAAATCAAAATGGAAACGAGATCGATTTAGCCGTGTAGCCCAAAGTACTCCTCGTCCACTTTGTTGGGGCGGTGAAGGCGCAGGCTTTTGAATTGTGACATTTGCTCGGTGGGCTTTAGCACGTCGTCCTAAAATATTGATTCATTAGAAAAATATGAAAAACACAAATCTCAAAGCCAAATAAACACGTTTATCTGGCTTTTAAATTCGTATTTAACGTACCCGGACAAGCGTGATCAAGTTGATCAGAGCGCTGAAGCGGAGCTCGGGTTCGTCGGGCTGATTTTCGCCCTTGTGCCAGTCGAAGAGTTCCTGAAATTCTCATTCATAAGTTTAGAATGATGACTGAAAACGGAAAACTAGAGGTTGAAAAAATAAAATAAAAATATAATTGTAAGTATAATATTGTAAAAATAAATAAATTATAATTGCAAATAAGTCAGACGTTAAGCAAACAGTTTTTTAAAATGTACCTGGATTAGCTGATTTCGCAGTTGATGACAGAGGAGTTTTGTTTCCTCCTCGAGACTGGCGTGCGCTATAAATTTCGGATATTTTCGAAAATATAGCCGAAAACTAGAATTCGATGGCCTACCGGTGTCCAGCAGCATGATCGTGGCGACCGCAACAAATTCGGTATATTGTACGTTCAGCTCGGCCATGTGAATTCGAAGTCTATCCAAAAGCGGCTGGAACGAGGGCCGGAAGTAGCTAAAAAGGAAAAATGCAATTATGCAGGGTGAATAGCTAAAGAATGTGTGCTGAAACGCACTCTTCGGCCACCTGGCCATCCGTAATCACCCCCTCAATCTGGCGCAACAGCTCGTAGTACGTGGCCATGTGGCTGAAATCGATGTAGATGCTAAAAATTAGTAAAACAGATGACTCAGTCATGATGGTGGTACCGATTGGGCATCATCCATCTCTGGAGGTCAGCGCCAAGGTTTTTCCACGACAGGTAGGCTTCTTCGAGGGCTTGGAAGGGGAGGAAGAAGTGGGTGAAGAGCTTCCGCTGAAATTACGATACTTTTTTTGATTGGATGAATCGTTATGTGGGTTTGAAAAACGCTTCTAAAGCGGTGGGTTTCCTTATCCCATAAAAATCGTTGGATTTTTCAGGGTTCTATCAAAACTCGGCCATTTTTTGGATGTTTATTTTGACAGCCGTGTTGAGTTGAGGTTTGGTTCTCTACCCTCATCAATTTTTTTTTTCATGACTCCGATTTAAATATTCTACGGGCTAGAGATTTCCACATCTGGAGGCTCTAACAATAAGACACCTTCCACCAGCTGTGCCCAGATGAGCCATATTTGTCACCACCGTCCCACTATTTCAAGCACGCCGGCTGAACATTGCGAATGGCCACGATCGCTCCGCGGATTTGCCCCCGGTCGGCGGATTTGCCGGACTGCGGGTACGGTAGACAATCCGGGATTTTAGCGAATTTAGTGGGAGGTGTTGAAGTGCAACGCCGAAATTTGTAGTATGTGGCGTATTTCTTCCTTGGGAGGCTGGCGGGGGTGGACCAGAGCGAGCGGATCGAATTCGTTGCGAAAACAAAACGGAAAACTGGTGCAGCAAAATATTTATATTTAATGGAGCTTGTTAGCCGCTATGCGGTACCTTTTCGGCGGCTGGTAGGGGCCCCAGGAAGCGGTTGGTGGTGATGATCTCGGAGATTAGCCGCGGCTCAATCCACCAAATTTGTGTCATGCAGTGGCGCAGGTCTGCGATTTCGCGGGGCACCTGAAAATTTTACTTATTCGATTCTGACCTTTTTAAAATCGTAAGGTTATAGCTGTCATAACCTACAAAATTCAAATCCTCCGCGAAGAGATCATCGAGCGATCGCGCCGCGTAGAATGACTGACGTTGACGCTCGAGGTACTGAAAAAAAATTATATGTAGAAAGATCTGGATCCACGTTTTTATTCAAGCTTAATCTTAGCGATACCTGATGTCGGTTGAGAAAGTGTTGCAGCACCGGCTCGCACGTTTGCTCCAGGCCTCCTGGGATGTCGCAGCCCGGAGACGAATCGGAAGCTAAACAGCGTTGAAAGTATTCGGCAGGAGACTGATTTGCTTACAATCCAGATCGGGCTGAACATCGTCGCCGGCTTCGGTGTCAGAAGCTTGGCGACGCGCATGGCGCTCCGCGGCTTCGTTCGAGCGTTTTCCAATCGGGTCTCGCTGCATTTGTACGGCTAAAAGATAGTGATTAGAGGTAGATAGAGAGAGAGAGAGACAGAGATTTGTCAAAAAAAAACCTTTTCGATCCATTCCAGCTTGAAGACACTTTTGAAAGCGGCAGTGTCGGCACTTTCTAGCGTTGCGGCCGCCTGGAACTATTTTAGAAAATTACTTCTACCAAATAATAATAGTTTTGAAGCGTCGAGGCTCTAAGAAGAAACGAAGAAACGCTTAATAATCTTAGCAAGTTATTAAACCCGGAGCGTCAAACGGCTAGACGCCGGTGAAGGAATTGAAGGGCGGGAAACCCATAACGGATCCCCAGAAAATTTGGAAGATGCGTAAGCTTGTTAGGGCTTGTCAGGGCCAGGTATTTTATGGTATCCCTCGGAAGCAGCGTTTCGCAAACGGCTGAAATGAGGAAAGGATTTCCGCCGACAGCAGCTTATGGTAGGCATGCGGGCAGAGGGCAGCCTATATATACCCCGCAGACGCTATCCCCAGCCGTCTACAATACCACACTTCGGGCCACAGGGCCCCAAAATTAATTTATGAAGTGATTGCCCCCAACACCACATGCGCATTTCGTGGATTTTAGGGCGGATTCGGTACGGGATTTGGGAGCAAATACGTCCAACTTAAATCCCCGATATCCCTACACCCTTTTAAAAGGTTCTCGTGAGCCGCAATTTTATGGTATAATACCTCGAAAAGCATTCCGATTTACACACCCTCGCTCGCTTAACGCAAGATTCTCGGGAGAACCGGGGGGCTTAACGTATAATTTAACAACGAAATTGTCCCCGAAAATTTCTTTCGGGTAAGCCTGACTATTTTGGTCTGCCTTTGTCAGCACGCCATGTCAAAATCGCCCGAAAACACGAGATTCGGGGGAGGGGGAGGGGGTACGGTAGGATTTGGGGGGAGTGTGGTGCCAAAGGCTTGTTTTTATCCTCTGCGAAGGCTTCGTATAGATGTTGCTCTCGTGTTTCCAAAGTTAGTTTCGTAAGATTTTGGTGTCGGTGCTGGTCCATTAGCGGGGGGGGTGGAGGAATAAATTTTTGCTCCTGAAGTCCAAATTCCAGATTCTATTCATTTGTCACAAACTTTTTCGAGCTAAAAAAAGCGTGAATTGCGCCCCCGCTAATGCACCAGTCCCCAGACTCCCCTTGGCTATTTCTGCGTCTTGAAACGGGCTTACCATGATTGGGAAGGCATTCTTTACTCTTCAGGCAGATGTACGTCTTCTTCAGCACCACAGTACGGCGGAAGAATGCGCCTGAAAAGGGTTTTTATATTTGAAATGTCTGGTCGCTTTTTCGATCTGCAGCTTCATTTTTTTTGAATCACCACTCACAGCAAGCAGCACAGGATTCCCCGCCAAAATGCATTCCGGACGACTCCTGGCCACAGATCTCGCAACGAGGCTGAAATCAAGCGGTAAGTACTGGTAAGCTCCGGAATCAGCAGAAGATAATGGCTAAATCCGGAATACCCAGAAACCTGGATAATATCTCCTAGTTAATTTTCCCGGGATCGGAAAAATATAAATATAGAGGCGGAGTTAGGGACGCGATAGCGCATGGACGCTCCAGGCTTGGCCTAGGTGATGAAAATGGTATTTTCATCACCCCTTTGTAGCGAAGGGCCCCCAGATAATCTGCGTTGTAATAGTTCTCAGAGAGAGAAGAGACAAAGAAAAAGATTCTGCTTATATGAATTTCGTAAATGTCTGAAAATGACACCTTCCAAGTTTTTTTCCAAGGAACTCTAGGCCTTGATGACTCGGAGTTACTCTTCCCTAAAATTCGATTGAAATGCTATGGCTAAACTATTTAAGTAAATTCACAAATTCCTATCCCCCAGAACACGATTTTATTAGATAATATTTTCGTCGATTTACAACTGTTAGACCTGCTGAGAAAAGTGTGGAAATCCTGGCGGAACCTCGCGCGGAAAATGAGGTTGACTAAGGACCACCGACTGCTGAGTACGAGCTGGGCTGTTACCGCCCATCGCCGCTTGAAGTAGTTGTTCAACCTAAAAAAACGAACTGGGTCTAGGGCAAAATGGATTTTGGGCAATGACGACCTTAGGTAAGACGGATTGGCTCCAAATGACCGGAATTTCTCAAAAATAATCCAAGAATGCTTTACCTGAATGCTCTGGGCGAACTGCTCGGCCACGGTGCCGGTCGGTTGTCCATCGGGTCCGAGCCCAAAAGTCAGCGGTAGCGGCCAGTTGACGGTCGACTGCGTGAGGACAATCCGTGCTAAATAGGGGTTTTCGGAGACGCTATATTGTAAGTGAAACCCGTGAAGGAGAGTACGCCACAGCTGTCCAAGAAATTTCGCTCCCTGTTATCTCGGTGCCGGAATGGAACGATTTTTGAACCATTCAAAAGCGTAGGAACGTGACAGCTTAAAGCTCATCAAATTGTGTATGGTTTTTCAGTTTATCAAGGCTATAGGAAATATATTTTGCAAAAGCTATCGGCAAAAAAGACTAATTTATAAGCTACTGTCGCCCTGCAGTTTTTTCCCGACAATGACTAATTTCCATTGAAGCAAATATTGTTGTAATCAACGCTAGAAAAACTGTCTCGTGACCCCTTTGAAGGTATTCATTTTCCGATCCAACCTTACCCGGTGATAAAGTGATTTTTCCCCGCGGACGGCCTGTACCCTGGCATATCCTACTATATATAAAAAAGTAGTGTCTGTGTGTGTGTGTGTGTGTGTGTGTGTGTGTGTGTGTGTGTGTGTGTGTGTGTGTGTGTGTGTGTGTGTGTGTGTGTGTGTGTGTGTGTGTGTGTGTGTGTGTGTGTGTGTGTGTGTGTGTGTGTGTGTGTGTGTGTGTGTGTGTGTGTGTGTGTGTGTGTGTGTGTGTGTGTGTGTGTGTGTGTGTGTGTGTGTGTGTGTGTGTGTGTGTGTGTGTGTGTGTGTGTGTGTGTGTGTGTGTGTGTGTGTGTGTGTGTGTGTGTGTGTGTGTGTGTGTGTGTGTGTGTGTGTGTGTGTGTGTGTGTGTGTGTGTGTGTGTGTGTGTGTGTGTGTGTGTGTGTGTGTGTGTGTGTGTGTGTGTGTGTGTGTGTGTGTGTGTGTGTGTGTGTGTGTGTGTGTGTGTGTGTGTGTGTGTGTGTGTGTGTGTGTGTGTGTGTGTGTGTGTGTGTGTGTGTGTGTGTGTGTGTGTGTGTGTGTGTGTGTGTGTGTGTGTGTGTGTGTGTGTGTGTGTGTGTGTGTGTGTGTGTGTGTGTGTGTGTGTGTGTGTGTGTGTGTGTGTGTGTGTGTGTGTGTGTGTGTGTGTGTGTGTGTGTGTGTGTGTGTGTGTGTGTGTGTGTGTGTGCCACTTTGCATGCAACTTCCGTCACCATGTCCGGGGAATATCTCGATAGGGGTAAGTTTTTAAGGTATGTATGATACGTCATTAGGTGCGTATTGGCTCTGGGATGACTGCACGCTTATTAGATTTTACAAAATTAATTGTTTTCAACATTAAATTTCAGATTTTGTAAAAATTTAGGGCTCCCGTATTGTTAGGAAACAATTAGCATCCGCCGGAACTTGCAGTAACTTATATAAACGGATGGAGGGAGTGTTTTTCATTTTTTTGTCTTCGCAATTCGGGCACAATTATGCAAAATGAATAACATCCTGGGATGAGACGGGGCCAGGGTTGAAAAGTCGCGAAGCGGCTTTTCAACCCTGGGATATTTTTATTATCGAACCGCCAAAAACTAACGGTCAATCGCGAAATTGTGAGGCAGCATCTGGAGCCCCTATATATACGTTGTGGTTTATGATTTTTCGATGAGGACATTTCCAATTTGACTTGGAATGCCATCCGGATTATTGGTGGGGACAGTGGAACATACACACATTGGGATACGGAAAGTTTAATCTGGGTTTATGGATTGAACGAGGTGGCAAAATTATTGTCAGCCGGTTCTAGCGGCTCTGCACAGCCCGCTCAGTGCTACAGTCCCATAAAATATCATTCGGGGTGATTCTAGGGTTGTGTGGGCGGTCCTAAGAATGCCGTAGCAAGTATTACCTTTCATTTATAGCGATCGTCCGATTCTCCACGAGCGTGGGAGTAAATATCATCGAGGCTGAACCATCGACGCTTAGCGGAGCTTGATGACACCGCGCGAAGGGTACGGATAAGGGGTACGGATAAGGGTTGAATGCTGTGGAAATCAATGCAAAAAAAAGTTGTTTGGCAAATTAAGGAATGGCTATGGAAGTCGTGAAAGCCGCAACTAAGCTTAACTAGTCTAGACAAAAAAGGGCTACGAACGACGAAAAGACTACCGTAACCCAACCAACCAAGCTCATTAAAAACCCATAGAAAAAATCTAGTCTCAAGGATTTTGCGTAGATTCCCCAATTTTTGAACTATGCCTCGCAGAAAAATCTAAATCACTGCTCCCAGCAATTTCTAAAAAACTGTGAAACCCGTGCAAAACCGAAAAGAAGAATCTCCTAGAAGCAAATGCCAATATAAGGAGGGATTCTACCTTTATATGGGGGCGAATCGGCAGAGGAACAGTGATCTGTTATTGTCTACTTAAATCCCCACCCACATCCCGAGTTATACGTTAAGCCCCCCCCGGTTCTCCCGAGAATCTTGGGTTAAGCGCGCGAGGGTGTGTAAATTGGAGTGCTTTTCGAGGTATTTTTTTTTTTTTTTTTTTTTTTTTTTGTTTTTTTTTTTTTTTTTTTTTTTTTTTTTTTTTTTTTTTTTTTTTCTTTTTTTTCTTTTTTTGGAGGTTTTTTTTTTTTTGGTTGAAGAATTTTTTTTTTGGTTGGGGGGGGAGTTTTTTTTTTTTTTTTTTTTTTTTTTTTTTTTTTTTTTTTTTTTTTTTTTTTTTTTTTTTTTTTTTTTTTTTTTTTTTTTTTTTGTTTTTTTTTTTTTTGGATTTTTATTTTTTTTTTTTGGGGGTTTTTTTTCTTTTTTTTTTTTTTTTTTTTTTTTTTTAAAAAAAATTTTTTTTTTTTGGCTTCCCCGGGGTCTGGGGGGGGGGGGGGTGGGGGGCCCCGGGGGGTTTTTCAACCCTGGTTATACCATAAAATTGCGGCTTACAAGAACATTTTAAAAGGGTGTAGGGATAAACGGGGATTGGAGGAATGCAGCTTATTTGATGATAAGAACTGTACGAGGCTCGAGTTCCTTAAAGGGATAGTTCAGCTTTGGAGCTGGGGCAGTACCTTGGGTGACTATCGACGCAGGACCGACACAGGCCAGCAGGCGACCCTGCGCCGATGGTCCCCAAGGTACTGCCCAAGCTCCAAGGTTGAACTATCCCTTTCGAACCAAGTTCTGTGTCCGGGGGCCCGCGGTGGCAAAGATTCGAGAAAAAGGGCTTTCATACATGTTTTTATAGCGTACAAAAAGATAGATTTGAGGGCGATTTGTTGTCCTGTACTTTCAGTACTGGTGAAAGAGGGCTTGGCTCTTCCCCGTCACTAATCCCGGCGTGAGCCTGGAATATGGAATAAGTTAAGCCGTTCGCGTAGTGAAGAATGGCTTGGGCTTGTGCAAATCGGCCGTATGCGGGTTTATTAAGTCTAAGCCCGTGATTTCAGCATGGCGGGTGCGGTTCCACCATTGAGGAGTGACGGATGCTGACATCTTGTGGTGTTGGTCCTGGTGGAAGCTGAGAAACACGCAGACAATAAAAAAAACATGCAATTCGTTTGGTATGATGTCTTTAGGGGATAATGCAGGCCAATATAAGTAAATTCTAGTCTAAAACTGGCAAGTAGAGAAGCAAAAACGATACGCAGAAAACGGGGAGCGAGCGCGCGCAGCCAGGAAGCAGCAACGACGCATCTTGCGCAGTTTAAAACCAGGACGTTTTTAAGGAATTGACCTGGGTCTTCCTGATACCTTTAAGTCCAAGAGTTCTCCTATTTTTTTATAATTGGCTGTCGCGGCCCGATGACAAATCGATAAATTAATTCCGTCTCGCAACAAGTAGAGGAAAGGTTCATAAATTCCATGCAATCCATCATCATCCAGACCGTCTTCCCGTTTAGCACTCCTCCTCAACGATCTAGATTTTCGTAATGGGCCGATCAATTTAAACAATGATTAGGTTTGTCGACACATAGTTTTTATTCCGTGCTATAATGAAAGTGCCCGGTTTATCCATGCAACCCATGGTTAATCCTGATTCACGGTGGCATCAACTTATCCCCGATCAAAAGCGACAATTTTCAGACTGCTCATAGGATCGGCTTTTCTCTTATCCTTTTGCATTTGCACCAAGCCACCAACCGATTGGGTGGATGTGGAATCAAGGTTTCTGCTGTTTTTGTGGTACGCGGAATTTTAGTGATTTACCTCCAGAAGCAATAGCCGGCCGTCAGCTGATTGCTGAAGCAGCGCATATGGTGGGGTATGCCTTAATGACTTTCGAATAACTGGCATCTGGACATGATGTTTTCATATTTAGTACCACTACTTCGGCGCCGCCGCCACAAATATCGATGTGATTTCGAGGAATGCGGAAACCTATGCTAATAATACGTCATATTCGGGCTATAGGCTCCTGAATTCGTAAGGCCTCGAAAGTTCTATCAATCCAGCTCTAGCACCCCATATTACCATCGCTGGAACGCTGATCCGCTCTGGTACGACCAAATTCGATATGTGGCGAGTCCCAGGGGCCTAACGTTTTGGTAACCTGTCAGTTCAGTTTGCCCTTCACAAGTCGTACCAACATTATTTTTTCTGGGTCTCCGGCGCCATAAACTTTCCGCACTACCGGGATACAACACACCAAATTGTGGCCGAGCAGGTTTGTGACCGGTTTAGCTTCGTAGATCCGGATTTCAGAAACTGGTCGCCTGGGAGCTTTTCGGCAATTTCTTGCACGTGGGTGAACGTATGCTACAAGCATACAACACTTTTCGAAAAGCCGCCCTTGCCACGATCAAGTAACGAGTCAAAAGAAGATATAAGGTTTTTTTAGGGAGCACCTCTATCCGACATGCGACAGCACAAATTGCGGGCTGGCTTTTGTGGTGGGCTCACCCTCAAACTTTGGTTTTTTACGTAACTAAAAGAAAGCGTAGGATAGGCTAATCAGGATTGCGTATCAGAATCTCCAATCTTGGATTTTTCAAATCTAGAATTTTCAGCACCTCGACATTCTCATAAGGTTAGATACATGGCATCGGCGCGCAAATACCGGAGCTTTCAATGTTGATTCAGGCTATGGAAATGTAAAGCGTGGCTGATAAGTATCCGGAAAAACTTTGACATGGCGTAACAAAAAAAAACCATCGAGTTTTAGATTCTGTTCGCCTAACCATTGTGCATGTGCCTGTATATATTTTGATATTTCATGACTAAAATTGAGTTGATTTTGGACAGTAAAATATCGGGGCGCGAAGAAGCTGTCGTTGGCCGTCATTTCCTTAAGCTTTGGTGCGCCGCACCTTGGGTAGTCAATGTTAAGACGAGAACATTTTGTGGGTTAAGATGTCTGAAAACTCTCAAAACCCCCGTTAACTTGTCAGTCCGGGTCTGAAAAATACCAGACAGTTAAACATCACTACAAAAAAGCTTTTCCCAGAAAGTTGTATGGTCTGAAGTGGAATCAGCGTCTCCGACAAAATGATATTCGGAAGCAAGATGTGATGCTCTGTAATCGAAATAATCCGTGTATTGCCCTTCAACAGTATCGGGCACGGGGCTAGAACCCAAAAACCACAATACGTCATTTTCACCCGAAAATCGACACTTTATGACGAAGGCTTTATCGACACTTCAAAAAATTTGTCACAGTGACAAACATATAGCTTCTACTTGTTGGTTAGGCGTGGGCTCAGGCGTGGGCTGAGGCGTGGGCGTAGGCGTAGGCTTAGGCGTGGGCGTAGGCTTAGGCGTAAGCTTAGGCCTAGCTTAGGCCTAGGCCTAGGCTTAGAGAACTTTTTTCTTCCTTCTGTATCTCCCTATAGTGGGCCAGACTAGTGACGAGTGGGGCCAGATCTGGATACCCTCGGGGCAAATCGGACGAGCTGAGACATGACGGCGGGAGAGAGGGAGATAAAGAGAGAGAAGGTGAGAGAGAGAGAGAGAGAGAGAGAGAGAGACAGCGGGACGAGATCTATAAAATAACTGGTTTTGATTACCTTCGTGCTTGCCTTTTACCCCAGGCCCTTATACTTTTTCCGGACACTTATCAGCCACCCTGTGGTGTTTCTAAAAACTCCCGATTCTGGAAATTCGAGATTCTGAAAATTCGAGAAGATGAAAATCCGAGGTGTTGAAGATTCGAATTTTTCATTGTCAATATTATGTTTCGAGTTCTCGATTCAAATCTTGACAGATTCCTGCAAATCAGAAAAACCTCGAGGTTTTTATATTATCTTCTGACTTCTACTAATCTGGCCATTTTTCAGTTCTCGGGTCATTCCATCGGAAATTGTATTTCCCAAATGTTGGCCCTAGAGGTCATCCACCTCAAAATCTATCCTCGAGACGCCGTCAAGTTCTTTGGCTATGCGGCGCCGAGATGCGGGGATGAGGTTGGCGTCTAGATTTTTTTACGAGCGCCCGGCTTCAGAACTTCGCCGCCGTTTTCAATCGTCTGGTCAAGTCGGCTTATCGCTATCAATGGGGCAACGACGCGTTAACGGTAATTTTTAATTAGAGATAATCGGTAAAATTTCAGGATATTCCGAAAAACAAATGTTTGAAAAAGAAGGGCCAGGATCCGGTGTTTAACATTAACCCAACAGGCTGTTATTTCCATGCGGCGGTAGTTTTATGTAAGGGCTGGTTTGATGCGGTTTTACAGAAGCTTCTTGTCGGTCGGCTAAACCGCGACAACTGGACTGAAATTGATCGTGACTTTGACGCAACTGACGGCATAGACTTGTCCAACTATGGTAATAGAAGTGAATCTAGATGAATTTAAGCATTTTGCAGACAAACATCGAGATGCTACGATTCGGTTCGAGGGCAACACGGATCTTGGGTTTTATGATGAGCCGATGTGTGAGTTTGTGCCACCGCAACTATGGAATTCACGAGTCCGCTAGTTAAACACACGAAAATTTAGAATTTCGAAATTCGTAATGAAGAAGTCACCATAATATTTTCAGGTTTCTGAATTATGCCATTTGGGATTCTGATATCACATAATTCTTAACACACTCCCCACTACGATAATTTTGACGTTTAGATGATGCTTTTTCAAGGACTTGTCAATCAAAGCGAAAGCGATCCAACACGACGTTGTACGATGGTCATTGCGTTGATCCGGAGCTCGGCCGACCAGAAAACGACGGAAATCGGGATGGTGGAGGAGAAGAGAGTCATCGGATCGAAGGACACGCCGGAAGTTCGTTCCATACCCGGCTTTGCTGTTTTTGTTAATCGACCCTAACAGAACGGCAAATACTATATCTTATCGCCCCCCCTTGCATGTCCCAAAGCTTTTGATATTTTTCTATATTTTTTTCGTGGCAATTTGATTCGAACGTTCAAAAATCTGCGACAAATATTTGTGGCTGCTTCAAACATAGCAACATATAAAAGTTAGAACAAAGCAAAAATAATGGTTGAAATTGGGGCACCCATACCGATTTTTTAGATTTTTACTACTTTTCAATATTTGGAAGACTTCCATAGCTAGAAGGTCATAAATATACTGCTGGTTTTTTACTTTCATCTCAAATTAATGTAATGTGAAATAGTTAGGGTAAAAACATGCGAAATCCGGATCATTTGTTAAATCGGATTTTTTTTGGACTTACCAAACTATGCTGATCGGCTAGTCTGGCGATGCTCTTTCTAATTTCTCTCTAATTTGGTGATGCTTGGTGATCCTGCGAAAAACCTGATCTGCGAACGCTAACGTCTTTCAACGTTGCTAACGTTAAAGTCTGCAAGCGTTTCATGCAGTGACAAGTGTCGACAATGCAACAATTCTTCAGCTTGCGACGTCGATCACAACAATTGCCCCAAGGGTTTCAAATGCAGCATCTTTCATGGTGTCACCCCCGCAGGGTATGAGTTGAAGTCTTATATGCGGTTGATTATTGCTTCGCGTAGTTTTGACGTGGTGAAACAATTTTTCTAATGCTCACATTATAGGGGAGAAACCGCGCAGCCGCTCTGCCGGACACATGACGACGGTAGCGTCGCCTCTGCCTTTCATTTTGACCGATCCATTTTAGAGTGTGCTACGTCATCCGAATGCCACCAATATCACAACACCAGTTACCGCTGTATTGACAATGCATGCGTCATAGCCGAGGAGCCGATATTTGACGGTTTGTACCTAACTAAGAGAGCCCGGACAAGCCCGGACTCTGAATGGCCTCAAAAATTTGCTAACAGATAACACCGACGACGCTAATCATCAAATTTGCAAAATCCAAATTTCTCGAGAGATACTGAGGTTTTAGTGTCATGTTTTGCTACGCCTCTATTTTATTTTGAAGTTTTAATTTATTTTCAGTAGCTTTTAAGTTTTAAGCTTTAAGTATTTTAAAGTTTTCCGTACCTGATAGCGAATTTCTTTCTGATTAGAATGGTACTTTTCATTAAGGCAGAGCGCGACTAGACGGCGTCTTACAGCTGTTTGAAGAAGGCTGTTTTTCACTAATTCCCATACCAAAAATCGAGGTCCATACCACAAGTCTCGTCATTTTTCCAATTTTTCGAGATTTCCAAAATTTTGAGTTAGAGAGCTCATTAGAAAGAAAAAATTCTGGATACGTTGGGGATATTTATTTTTGCAGAGTCGCCCGGGAAGATCAAAATAGTCGAGCTCGATGTTTGACGATTTTAAGTAAAGGAGCACTTTGAAAGTGGCATATCCTGAGTTTTAAAGATCAGTAGCAAATTTGGACAGCGAGGTGATGATCAGCGTGGTTGATTCTATCTGTATGCAAATTTTCAACCAATTCTGAGTCCGGGTTTGACCGGTTTACTAGCGCCTGGCGATTTAAATCAAGCGAGCCACTATTTTAAGATTCCGTACCCATCGACCTCGCCGCAATACTTCCAGAGGATACCTACACCAGCTGGGATGGCAAAAGAACCTTTTCTCGGGCTAACTGGGAAAAGTCCGAACCGGCGGAAAAATTGCTAATCATTTGGAGCTACACCCCAGCTATTACCGACGTCATAAAATGGGACCGCCTACTCTTCGAGTGCGAACCGTTCTATGGACCGAGGGTGCTCGATTTCTTTATGGCTACATATTCGAATCCGTTTGATGTGGTGCTGTATCCTGCGAGGGGCGTTACAACGCAACTGTATCAAGAGTAAGTCGTTTCTGGTTCGGTAGCGGGTGAAGTCCCGCTAACAAGGGAACCACACAAGGTTAAGATCGCATTTGGAAATGGGACCTGGCCTATATTGCGCAAAAATTTTCGCTGATCTCGAATCCGTTTTCATTTTTTGCCAAATAGCCATATTTCAAAATTTATGGCGTTTTTTAGTTTCTTTCTATTCCCGTGAGAACTGTTCTGCCATGCTGCTCTACTTTTTTGTTCTAATTGTCCAATCTATTCTGAGTCGCTGAGCTGGTAGAGAAATGGTTATTCTAATTAGAACGGCCAATTTCATTAATGCGTTACGGACACTAGCCGGCCTCTTGCGGGTGTGCAAGTTAGACTTTTTTCAAAATTTCGTATATGCAAATTGGCGTCCATTTTTCAATCATTCGATTTTTTTTAGTTTTCGACAATTTCGAGTTAAAGGGCTCATTTGATAGAAAAGCAGTTTCCGAATACGACGACAATATTCATTTTTCGAAAATCCAGAGTATGGGCCTTCAAAATCCGAAAATTTGGGCAACGATTCGTAAAATAGCTTTAATATTCAAAGCGACTTTTTTACAAAAACGGAAACCACGGGTTGGAATCAGCGAAAAATTTGATACAGGATAGGCCACGTCCCCTTTCTCTGCGCCCCAGAACTCCCCCGCTAACGAACGTGCACCAGTAAATCTTGATGAAATGATTTGATTTTTTCTCGGGACGCCTCCAACCGACCGGAAGCCCTGTCACTTTGCAGATTTTTCGAGCAAGTGGCGCACGATGATTGGGTGCTATTGCCATATGAGGGGCGGCGGACGGCATTAACATTCGCGATGTCAAACAAAGATAATAACGCCTCGGATGCTTGCAACCAATTCTTTTTGGTGTGGGGTTGTGGCCGATGGTTGAGCAATAAGGCTCAATACCGTTCCCGAGAAAAGGGATTCCTTACCCTCGAATACTTCAACGATGAGTGGATGACGCAGGGCAACGACACATGCCTGATCAAGCGCACCGAAGAATAAATATTTGTGTTCAAAGGCGATCCGCGTCGGTTTCCGAACAAAAATAATCAGAGGTAATCAGAGATTAATATCAATAACTTTATGATATATTAAAAAATTTGACAATAGCGATAAAATAAAGCAAATTTTATATGTAGAGTTGCTATTCGTGGCACGCGTTGAGCTGTCTACAAAACAGATCTGATTTTCAGTTTTTTGCATCTTTCGGGATTTAGCTAGTAGTTGCACTCATCAGCTTCAGAAATGTGGCGCTTCTGAAAGATGTAAGGTCCAAAATATGAGGCTCCGCCGAGTGAAAGGCAAAAATAATAAAAACCAATTGGGCTCAAGGCTTGTAATTTTTCTCATACATTCTACTGAATTCAAAAGATATAAGGAAAAAGCAACATCGGCATCGAGCCAGAAAATTTTTATTCAAACGTTTTCGAAGTTGGATTTTACGAACTTTCGGTCCAACCTAATAGCATAGGTTTTTCTAATCCGTTTAAGCTTTGCAGCTATTTCGAACAAGTCGCTAAAGATAATTAAATGCGTACCGTACGATGAACGTCGTTCCGCACTGCTTTGAACAGAACGGATCCGGGCGTGTCTCGAGCCCGCCTGTATGCAAACAATGCTTTGCAATTTTGGGCTGTGGGGGTCGGTGAACCTTATGCCAAATCATCGGGCCTGGGAAGAGAAACATTTCATGGAAGAGAGTTTTAAAGGCCAATGGTTGGAAAATATCGATAATGCCTGGCTCGACAAAAGAAAGAATAAATATTTGCAATATGAGGTGCGTTTATGTGCGTTTTTATGACGTCTTACAACATATTGCATGTGTTTTTATATAATCAATTCTTTATTAGCAACTATTATCGTAAATCTGTCACAGAAAACATGTAAAAAAATTGCTTTCATAGCGGCTGTAAGCCCACGAAGTTTATAAGAAAAAGGGGAAAACTAGATCAGTGGAGGGGGGCTCAAAAGCATCGTATAGAATTCTCCGGATTCCGGGCAACAACATCAAGGCCGGCGGACACAATCGCGAATTACCAGGTAATGTGTGTGTTTCTGTTCTGCTTGTACCCTTATGATATGCTCGAAAATCAAGAAGATGAGATACCGCGTATTTTCAGGAACAAAAAAACAATGTAAAACCATATAGCGAGAAAACGAAGAAGACCTGAACCAATTGAAGAAGATCTACCGGGCTCGTGTGGAAAATCGGGGAAGGCGGGTTTTGTGGTACGGTAAATTCAGGTAATCGAATTAAAGTTCCTGTAGATACCTCAAAACCCACCAAAACAACCGTAAGGGAAGGGGTACAAGTATTAGGGCATAGTGGGGCGGAGGACTGGTGGAAAATGAAGATTTTCAAGGTTGATAGAAATTTTTGTGGTTAATTTTTGGTATAGAAAATTGACATAGGCAGCTGGAAGAATTTTCGGGCTCTGTCTAGCGGGACCAGGAGACGTGGCCGTGTTTAGGGGAGCCCAAGCTCATATAAGCTTCATCGGCTAAGCTGGAGCGTCGGGACGCCATCGCAGGGCGGGTAGACGAGCTGGCGGTAGAGGTCTAGGCGTTGCGACGCCGTCAGGGTGGTGTTCACGAAGACCGGCTCGTTCAGGGGTACGCTGGCCGAGGAGTTTCCTGGAAATAAATTATTGCGTAAGCGAATCATCGATATCATAACTACATTAAATTGCAGAAATAGCTCTAGAAGTACCTCTTCCTCCGAAGAGTCCTCCTCCATTCCCTCCCATGCCTCCGTAGCTGCTGTTATTTGACGAGGCGGATGAGAGGTAGCTGCCGAACGGAGACTGAAAATTCTACTGGATATACATTATACACTAGACTTCCTAGTGCCTTTAAACGATTAAAAATCGCAATTTTTTTTAACATTATCACGGTTGAAATCGCTTTAGTATACCTTTAACTCAATTTTCCCTCGTGACTTTTTTTTTGCTGACCACCCCCGACTGCTAATGACATTCCGCGGGCTGTTAGCCAGCTCGGGAATTGCGTTCTGCTCCCCCCCCCGCCACCAGAAAATGTGGCCAATTTACGTGCGCTGCGTGACCGAGCGGATGGCTGATCCGATTTCGCCAAGGCCACAGTCAACCCACCAACCAAATCGTGTCTTTGGCTGAGCTCCTCGGATAAATGCACGGGATCGGGGTTGGGCGCAAAGAATCCCTATCTATCCCCGGCTTTGCGTTCGCCGGGGTGAAATTGATAATCTCCTTTCCGGGGTGGATGGTTTTGTTCGGATATCCATCCATTTTTCAGGAAAAGTGGCAAAAGGGATTGCGAGGCTTGGCAAAATCTTATTTTTAGTGATTCGAGACAATACCGGATTTTCCAGCTGGTGGTATCAAAAGGGAGGATGATTGATATTGTTATTGTGCATTTTGGCGGGGTCATTCGCACGGGATTTTGTGCGTTGAAAGATTCGTGGATTTGCCAGGGTTTTTAAAGAGATGAAACAGATTGGAAGGGATTAATGATCACGGACAAAAAATGTTCCAAAAATTCGAGATTTTCGCTTTCTTTTGCAGGAACTACTCGGTTTCAAACACACCTTACACAAACACTACCGAATTCGTAAAATCACTTCCATAAAATTGGGGTAAAAGCATGAACTAACTCATATTTTGGACCTATGTTTTGTTGGATTCTTGTGGTTTTGCGTGCGAATATGCAAACTATAAATGTGGCCACTCGTTTTTCTGCTGTGAAGCCTTATTAACAATTTCCTATGCTTTCTCTGATCATCAAAACACCCCCGAAATCCCAAGATACCAACCATTCACACCCAAATTCTATCCCCCTCGAAAAGGTTCAAATCCGGTTCCTTCGCTTTATATCGTTGTTTGCCTCGGCCTCGGCCTCCTACTCTTGGTTGGGGGCATCGTTGGACGAGGTCAATGGGGGTCTCTTTTTCGGGATTCGGGGTTCCGGAAGAAAACATGATGATGGTTAAGGGGAGGGAAGGGGGAGATCCATGGGATCTCGTGAGCCGCGCACCCGACCGGGCTAAAAACTTTGCGGCCTTGACCCGTTTTTGCGTTTCGCTACGTTTCTCTGCTGACAACAGCGGGGGTGGTTTGAATGAGGGATGTGGAAATGGTGAGGTCAGCGAAATTTTGGTGCGTATGCAAATTACGGTTCGGGAAGTTTGGGAAACTAAAGAATTAAAGTAAGCTTAAAAACTAGTAATATTGAATATTTACCCTTTTCTTGATATAATCTGCCGATTTTCTAACTTCTAGATACTTTTAAGACGCTTGTATTCCGCTCAATTCCAGAGAACAATACCATGACTCCATTTTCCGAGAAATTTTGATATTTCTCAAAGCCTAATAACTCCCTTCAACACCTCATCACGCTCATAATTATCCCCCGTTTTTAGTGAGGCTTTCGGGTGTGGCAACCCATCAGAAGCATGTGATTTTTAAGACCATTTTGCGAATCCCAAGCGGTGGGCAAAGGTTTGTGGTGCCATATGCTAATTAAGAAAAAGGAACTCACATTTTGATCTGCCTCCCGGGCTCCGAGCGCCGCGTTCATCGTCATTGGTTCGCAGGATTGTCTCAGCACTTCAGCTGACAGCATCTGTTCGTCTGAAAATAGAGAAATAAAATATTATTTACAAAGAATGTCGAATTCTCAATAATAGAAATGGCTGCTATTTCCACGAAAAACGCAATTCCACAGCTTTCCGTTAAGAGGAACGTTGCGTAGTCTATATTTGGTGAAAGGGATGGGTGCGAGGGTTGCGAATCTCAAATGCGCAGAGAATATCCACAGGGCTCCGTTGCTTTTTTTCGCAACGCCCCCCTTGGAGCGAACAAATTCCATATTCAGTATCCAAACCGGGGATGAGGGATTGGGGTTGGGATGGGGTCGAAGAGGAGACGGCATGTCAATTGGAAGGGGATGGAATAGAGGAGGATACTGAGGAAGATGACTACCTTTTTTGAGAGCACGTAAAGTATCGAGTCGGGAGGGTATTGAGCTTTGGTTTTATTCTATTAAAAAAACCTCGAACGTTTTATCCTATCCCAAAAGGTATAATTTCAGTACGTTTAAAGCCTAGTAAACCAATCCAAAACCGAAAGCACACCCTAGAAATCCGCCAAGTTTCTCCCCTTCAACCCATTACCACAGGTCCATTCCGTATATGTATACAAATCCCAGCCGACTGTCCCGTTGCCCCGCCCCTTTCCCCACTTTTCTAATCCCCCTGGATAACTCACAAAACGTGTAAGTAGTAGGTGAGCGGAACGTCCTTACCCCCTTCTTGAAGTAGTGATTCCAAATCCTATAATCTGGCCCCGGCCGCTACAGATGAAGTGAGAATTGGGCGCAGCCCCCGAGGGAAAATACCCAGGTTTTCCACTCCATTATTATTTTTCCACCGTCCCGAGCCGTGCGGGCAGATTAGGGGCGTGAACACCGCGGAGTGTCGCGGACCACCGGGGGATTAGTACTTTTTCCGCAACTAAAAAAGTCATTGAATGCCCGTAAATAAATAGTCGGTCTCCAGAGGGGTGAGATTATCCGGGGGTAACAAATAAATTGCGGAAGTTAATTTGCACGTTTTCTGATCGGTAGGTGGGATTGGGGGTTACGGTAGTGTTGTAGTCGTGGGTTTTTGTGGAAAGTGGTGATTTTGGACTGGAAAGGTAATTGAGACCCGGCTAAAATTTAGAAACAGCTATATGCTCGTTTTCTGATCAGCAGGTGATTTTGGGAATACCGCATCTTTGTAACCCTCGTACCAAAAGTGCTAGGTATCAGATGCTATTTTTAACACTGACTGGATTTATTATAAATATAATTACAGGGGCCTGTTTCCCCGGGGATCTCAAAAATCCAAATAACTTGCCGATCCACCATTTTTTCCTAAAAATAATGCTTCACTAACAACTTGCACTAAAGTGGCGATCCGAGATTTGGCCGAAAAGCCGACCGGCTACAATCCCGTTTTATATGGCAAAAAAACCCCCGGATATTGGGCCAATAAGTGGAGAAGGCGGGGGCTGGTACAAATCACGAGGTTTAGAAAAAAGCGGGCCAGGTGAGATGGGGCTACGGTAACAGTAAAGTTGCTATATTTAATTGAGTGGTCGGGGAAAATGGAAAAATTCCGTCTGGGGGAGGTAATGGCCGTAATTACCTGTGAACGCCCTGGGGGGATGGATCTTTGGTGATGGATAGGAAAATGGGAGGGTTATTAATATAGTTGACATGAACATATAAGTATGAATATATCCGAAAAGATTGATTTAAAAGCATTAGTGAGCCCAGGAAAGCCCAGGAAAATATATATAGAAGTTAACAAGTTTATATAAATAAAAAATCGTAAAGAACGGTAAAGTACGTACATGGCCCAGATTGAAAAGGAAATTCGCAAAAAAAAACCAAAATCTCGCCGAAGCGAAAGGAGAAATCCAAGGCCACCCCCCACAACTGACCAGCCCCCCTTATTTAGAGGCCTTTTATAAAGAGACGGGGATGGATGGGGTGGGGATAAAGACTCGGGCGTCTCCCCCAGCCAAACGGGGTCAATTTCATCAACCCCTCCCCCTTTCTCTCCCATCTAAATGGAAGAAAGAGCGGGAGGAAATGGGGGAGAGATCCGGGAGAGCTAGAGATAGCAACAGGGGGCGGAGCCAGAAGCCAAGTGGGGGAAAACAACAAAGCGACTCATCGGGAGGGGGAGGGGAAAGCTGGCCCAATTCTTTCGTTTTGGGCTCGAGGCCAAGAAATGCCGAAGGAGCAAGATGTGGTGGATTAAAGGGACAGAGCCAGAAGGAAAGCCTCATTGTTTAGAATTTTTTAGAGAACCAGAAACTTAAGTGGCAGAGCCAACGTCTCTGTAACGATTATCTACGAAAGTCGCTGCTCTTAAGCATGTCACGCCCCCACTGAAGTGACCAACACGTCGAGATCAACTTCAAGATACTGAAAAATCGGAAATTACGATTCCGACGACCTACACCACTTTCAATTCTCAATAACGCGCCGATTCAATTCCGCGCGATCCAAAATCACCGGCAACAGCTCTTTTGCGCTGCCGGAATTAATGTGGTTATTTCTGCGCCCTGGTTCGGCACCACGTGTATGCGGTTTTCTCACGCAATGAGTTTGGAAACCCGCGGAAAACAATCCGGACCGGCTGGTCGGCTAATTTAGGGAACAAGATACCCTTGAAAAAGCCAAACTTTCAAAAACGACGAATCGCCACAATTTCCCATGGTCCAGCACTAGAAACGTCACTCCTGATTTCAATGGCCCCGGGAATAACAGATTTTCGCCGTTTTTCTAGGTCAAGCCAGTGGCTAGAAGACAGAAAACAAGGCATTTCTCGATCTCGCGGGGGAAACACATGTGTTGTGTTGCCGTGTTTCTGGGCCTTTGCCTTGACCCCGATTGCATTCCGGATCCGGCATCCGGATGGCAAAACAACCGCTGAGTTCGGGGGAGATCGAAAACTTTATCTCACGTCACTAATTAATGGCAGGATTGGATATCAGCCAACCGGAAGTGAGTCACGGCATAGCAAGGAAAACCGCTTTCGCCCAAAGCCTACGCTTGATGGCAAGTTGCTAATTGTTAACTAAACTACAATTTTCGGAGCATCGTCCGATGTGAACAAAACGCATCGGCTGGCTGAAGACCCTGTATTTATACGAAAAAGCACCTGCTAATAACCATTATAATCAACAGCCTGCACGAGTGTTTTTTAGCAAATTTCACTCCACTTTTTGGGGGTTAGGTGAAAGTTGCAGAGCCAATTGAATTTAGAATTTATTAGTGTTGGCAGGTGGGATAGGTCCGACCAATTTTGTTATAAAAATTCGCTTTTGGTTGCTGTACGATTTATGAGAGAATTTACTTAAATCCTAATATATTTTCATTTATCCGGAATCCAGTATAAACACCATTAAATCCAATTTTTTGGCAAAGGCTTTTTTTGCATCCGAGACGCAGCGATGCGTTTTGTCTAGACGGCGATGATGGGGAGGGGGGGGAAGAGCCGGAAATGCATTTTAGAGCAAAAAAAACAAGGGATGATCGGATGGCGAGTGGCTAAAGGCGGCCCTATACGAATTAATGGCCAGAAATATGGTTTATAGGTTGGCGTGTACATAAAACGCTAAACCGAGGGGATGCAATTTCCGCAATTACCGGCCCGGTGCATGGAAACACGTTTTTACGGGCAATAGGCCATTTATAGCCAAAACAAGGGTATTAAAACGAGACGTGCTATTGCAGAGTATTTTCTCCGCAAATTTTCAGTTAATTTTAAACATAGTTTGTTTAAATGCAAATTATTTTTGTTTGAGCATTTTTCACCATTTGTAAAGTCGACTACGCCGGATGTCTAAGGCCAGATTAGCCCCCCCTCCCAAGTGATTCGAGAATGATTTTTTAGTGCTGAAAATCGAGTAAATCAGCGTTTTTCACCGGGGCACCGGATAAAACTAATCCGAAGTGGGGGATACGTAAAAGGGCTCGGGTCAATCCGGGTTTCGCTAATGCGAGAATTTGATGACAACACGGGAGGTGAACGAGACTGGCATGAAAAAGTGCTGTACGGAATTTGTCTGTAATCGAAAATATGGATTTTCGACCTATGCATTCGAATTGGTTATTAAAATAAAGCCGTACTTTTCAGATATTTTAGCATCTACTAAAACAGAACAATTCCTTAAAAGGCGGTCATTGGTTGCATTTTTCACGTGGCGGCGCGCTGTCCAAACAAAGCTGGTATCAAATTTCCCACGCACAAAAAAATATTTCACGAATGGAAATTCGATGCCTTCAACCATTCGAATAAACCCAAAAAACCCGAGCGCCGTTCAATGTTGCAGAAGCAGCGCGCGGTTTTGGGCCCCGGAAGTTGGGGGGGTTTGGATGAATGCTCGGGGTTGCTCAAGTGTGTATCCGCCCTGTGTAGAGCCTTTTTTGCCGAAGCTGTCCATTAGGCGGGTGGACATGGGAGATTGTGGTGGGTCAGATGGACGGCGAAAACGAGTGAGAGAGAGAGGATAGAGATGAACAGGGGCCCATAATTGGATTCGCGGTGGCCTGAATGCCAAATAATTGGCCTCTGCGGAGGATGCGTCATGAATCCCGTCTGGTAAAATTAAAGCAATACATTTGGTCCGTCCATTCATGCGTCCAGATGCTTGTGAAATCCTTGAAAAAATTGGGAAAGCCCTGGAAAAAGCAAACTTAGAGTAGATGTTGGACATAATTTTCCAAATTTAGATACCGAAAAAATTCGAGCCACAGTCATGAAAGATGAGATTTTGCAACTTCTCAACAATACGGTCTCCAAATTGCTTTTACTTTCATTTTAAAGCGAACAGGTGTTCCACGTTGCAAAGCCCTACTTTTTCATCAAAAACCCAGGCCAGAAAATGAAACCCAGCCCCGGGGAGAAGCCCAGCTAAAGGTCAACATCCCCAATATTCTACGTGCCCACCCGTTCGTCGTGCAAAATTGGCTTCTGCAAGGGCCAATGGGAAGGCAAAAAATGTCGGGATGTGAATGCCGTTTAGCGGGTCTTCCTTTTCAGAGACGGGGCGTAGAAGCTGAAA